TGTATTCCATTAACATACAAAGCATAGCTTAATTTCGATGATGTTTCTGGCTTAGTAATTTATAATAGATTTGGTTGACATTTAAAATCACGGGTCTACCAGGACAAAAGTTTTCCTATCCATGTGCTATGTGCCATGTGCCATTGCCCTCTCTCTTTGTCTCTCTCTACATATCGCTTATCAAAAGAAGAGAGAGATATAAAGAGAGGGGCAATGACACAGTATAGGGAAGTTTTTCTCGTCTACCGGCAAATCTCTATGATTTCATCACAAGAAGGCAATTAGGTTAATTGTTTACCAACAAAAAGGAAAAAAAAAATTGAAAAAAGAAAAGGTGTGATGAGTGAGGCAGGACCTCCTATGACTCAACAGGAAGAAAAAAAAAAGTACTTGTTATTCTATCTTTCAATCTTTAACTACTATGACCTGTTTACCTCTGATCTGGATATCATCATTACATTGAGAAAGTGGGTTGACACCTCCCTTCTTGCAAAAGTATTATAAACAAGCAAACATGAAACTGACAAAACAGAGCATGCACATACACTTTCTATTTCACACTAATTACCTGTTCATAGTAGCTTTGGATGCAGGTGAAAAGAATTGAGAAGAGTCAAGGCCAAACCATACCGAAGTAAGCCCAAACATCTTGTTTCCTCAGCCCTAAATTTTTATTTATGGGCTTCAGAAACTTAAATAAATAAAGCCCAGATTCTGGTTTTGTAGAAAGAAGAGCCCACGTTCTTTTTTATTCGAATAAGAGATGAAATTTGGTCACTCAGCAGCGGCGGAGAGCGCGCGAAGATGTTAGTTAGCCGTTGCGTGGTTCCATTCTCTCTGGGGACTTTCATCAAACACCTTCCCATATCAAAGCGAACGACTTTCTGTCCGTACAGAATCAGACCCAAAACCATAACCACCACCAGAATTCTCTGCTCCTCTTACTTTGAAACGTTAGATTCGCACCAGAAAGAGCAAATGCATCTCTACGTCGACACTCTTCTCGAATGGAACCAGGTATCTCTCTCTCTCGCTACACTTATCCTCTGTTTGGCTGCCGAGAATATGGTGGGAAAATTCTCTCTGGGGACTTTCATCAAACACCTTCCCATATCAAAGCGAACGACTTTCTGTCCGTACAGAATCAGACCCAAAACCATAACCACCACCAGAATTCTCTGCTCCTCTTACTTTGAAACGTTAGATTCGCAGCAGAAAGAGCAAATGCATCTCTACGTCGACACTCTTCTCGAATGGAACCAGGTATCTCTCTCTCTCTCGCTACACTTATCCTCTGTTTGGCTGCCGAGAATATGGTGGGAAAATTAAAAGGACTTGAAATAAGATTGCAATTGATGAAAATTTTGAAATTGCAGCGAATGAATTTGACCGCTGTTAAAGAGGTGAATGAGGTAATGGAGAGGCACATTGAGGACTCGCTTGCAATCATACCACCTATAAGAAATTCTTATCTTTCTCATTGTAGCCCTTCTTCGTCAAACAACCTCAGCCTTGTCGATGTGGGCAGCGGTGCGGGTCTTCCCGGATTGGTTTTAGCCATTGCTTGCCCAGGTAAGCAAATATTTTTGCTAAAGTTCAGATTTTTATATTTTTATAACATGTATATAAATAAAGCATATACCTTGTTGCTGTTTTGGTGGGTAGGTTGGGAAGTGACCCTCATGGAGTCTATGAATAAGCGATGCCTTTTTCTGGAGCATGTTGTCAGTCATATTGGTTTGTCAAATGTTCAAGTTGTAAGAGGAAGAGCAGAGGTATTGTTTTTTGTTCTTCTATAAACACTAAAGATATTGAGATACAAATTGGTTTCTACTGGATGTATCAAATTGAGTATTTGAAATTTTGTTATAGGACAGAATTTGGGGCAGGCTCTTTGTTTCAGGGAGAAATTTGATGTGGCAGTGGCCAGAGCTGTTGCAGAGATGAGAGTTTTAGGTAGGAATGAAAATCTCCTGTCTTGGTTTCATCTGTGTATTTTCAAAACTTCAAATTGGTTCATTACTGTGTTAGTTGCTGAGTCTTGTTACTTTGATGGTCAGCTGAATACTGTCTACCTCTTGTTTGCGTTGGCGGTTTGTTTGTAGCTGCAAAGGGCCATGATCCGGAGGTAACACATCAACCGGTTCTTTCTGAAATTGAGTTCAAAATGCCACAAAAAAAAAAACTATAAACTAAACTAAACCTATCCATTGATACTAATAGCACTATGCTATATAAACTATTAACAATCTTGGGGTGTGTATATTCTTTCTAGGGACTTATGATGCCTTTTGGCAACATGGTGGACTGTCCATCTTTTCTTTAGTGCAATGAATCTTTTTAGAAATGAACAATTAAGCACTCTGCATATTTCGTAAATTTGAACAGGAGGAAGTTAGGAATGCAGAAAAAGCAATTCAGATATTGGGTGCTTCCGTATTGCAACTGTGCCCAGGCATGTCATATTCTCTATTTGAAAATTTAACCAACCCATCATGTATATGGTTATGATCTACAGATACAACGACAACATGTTTACTAATGTAACCTCTATTTGTATCCAGTGGAATCGCACAGCCCGTATGGACAGAGAACTGCCATTGTATGTTTGAAAACGAGTCCTACCCCGAGGAAGTATCCTCGCGATCCAGGTACTCCAGAGAAAACACCACTGTAAATAATCAAGATACCCATTTCAAATGTTATATTTAGTAGGCATTGCTTTCCCATTCATCAGTTATTTATGTAACAACTTCTACTTTTGAAATGAAATGCTACAGTTTACAAGTTGCTGTCATTGTGTGTGGTGTAGATTGGTGTAGGCGTTTCTCCAAATAAGTTATTGTTGGATAAATCAAGAGAACTTTCATGATTTTCGTTCTAGCTTTTGCAGAGCTAACACTTAAAACAGGTATTTAGATAAGTGAAAATTTTCTAGGAAAAGACTAAGGGGATGAGCCCATCTACTCATGAAGAGCTAGCAAGGGCGATCTGTTGCAATATAACAAGTAAAACTCTAAATACTCAATTAGAGCAGTAAAACTGGGGAAATCGACAATTAGTTTAATGTATTGTATCCAGAATGATGTTGTGTAGAAACCTGGAAATCCATAACAGCAAGATTGACTGGTGCCCTGCTTAAAGAATGAAATTAGCAAGATTGCAGATTCAGGAAGAAAACAAATATATCTGATAAAAACAGGAAGATGAGAACTGAGCATGAACTGCTTTTCCACCATTAAACTACTACTAACTGAGTCATTAAGGCACCTGATTTGGTGCCAAACTTACCTATATTTGTTGAATTGTCACCCCTCATCTTTTTTAGTCAATCAGTACTTCATGGGGGCCTCTCTGCTTTTTTTATCTGATAAAAACAGGAAGATGAGAACTGAGCATGAACTGCTTTTCCACCATTAAACTACTGCTAACTGAGTCATTAAGGCACCTCATTTGGTGCCAAACTTACCTATATTTGTTGAATTGTCACCCCTCATCTTTTTTAGTCAATCTGTACTTCATGGGGGCCTCTCTGCTTTTTTCTCTCTATACAATCACAGACGTACGTACTTTAGTGTTATGTCTACCTTTGGCCAACACCGTCCATCCACCCCTTTTGATCTCAAACTTTGGGTATTTAAAGTCACTTTTTGTACCATATAAAATTAAGAGAGAGAAAAAGTTGAGCATTGGAAACCTTGGCTAAGCATGCACGTAATCAAAATTAAACTCGGGTTTTAACTTCTTATACAAGATTATCCAAGTATTAATATTTTTTTATTTATTAATGATGATAATTATCTTTGAGAAAGTGTCAATGGCCCCAAAGATGAAAGTAAATCTCATACCTATTATTCATGATTTGGGTCAACAATGTTATTTGCATGATTGCAATTGTCAAGGAGTGGGATTTGATTTGAGACAAAAAGAAAAAAAAAAAGAATTAGGTTAGAAATAATGGTGAGAATATTAAAATGTCAGTGTTACCTAACTTCACCTCCACTTGTAATAATACATTTGTTTAGGTTGCCACGTAAACATAGTACGAAATCGTTAATTACATATTACAGTAAATAAAGGATATATATGATGTAACTAAGTAAGTTAACAAGCTTTAATTATTGCACACTTGATGATTAACTATTACTTAATCAGCTTGGGATAAGTCCTGCTATCTGCTCCTATGGAAGAAGCTTTCTTCTTATTGTAAAAAAAAGGTCGATGCAGAAAATATCTTGCTTTCATTGCCTGAAATGAACCCAACTTGGAGCCGAAAAAGGAAGATATATATTGAGAATGTGGACAATGGAAGGTGAGATTAACAAAAGAATGAGCCAAAAAGAACAATTAGCGACCAATCGTCATCACAATGCATGCTAATTGCCAACCAATCCTGCTTTAAGCAGAGAAGTTTATCTCTTAGCCATTTTTTTTTTGTTAAATATCATGAGGTGTCCTCATATTTGAAGGGTGTGATTAATCCCCGCTCAGGGTTCGGCTTGCCCCTAATTACAACAAAGTGCTTCCAACGGGTTTCAAACCCATGCCATTAAGGCAACAGGTAGCTCCCCAGCTGGAGGTAGCAGCAGTTTGTCAACCGCATCAAACCTTGTGGTTATCTCTTAGCCATTTTTAAGAAACTGTTTCCATGTTTCATATATTTTATTTTTCTTGAATTTGAGTTCGAATTCATTTCAAATTTGGTTAGAAGTCAATTATTGGCCCTAATATATTTTAGGTTTTCCCATATTTTCCCACTTTTAATTTTAATTTTAATTATTTGTGAGGTGGGGTTCCTATCTGGGACGCATATTTGTTCATCAATTAAAAAAAACAACAACGTTTTTCTATTGTTATTGCAACTGTCACCTTGTGGTAAACAACATAAACATTTGGATATTTGTAATATATTTGAGCCAGGGCATCCACAACAGTGGACTCCCACATGCATGTTGATAGCGAAATCCCATACAATAATTTAGCGCACACAAATAGAAAGCTCATAAATTATTTCGTCTCTTTTATTATATTAATTATAAGCTAAGAGAAATTAAGAAGAGATGGCACAAACACAATCTCTCCTCTCATTGCCTACGCCAAAACACTAAATTGGCCAGAGACTCAATTAGAGGAAGATTAACAAGTAATTAAGAAAGAAATTAAAACCCTAACTACTAGGAACAAAGACCTGCCAGACTTTGATGTCACAGTCCAAACTACCACTGTAAATAATACAAGACATGTTAGATGAGCTGCAATGGTCATCATCAACTGCAGCAGTTAAACACTTGACAGGACCATTATGCCCTTCCAAAACTGCTAGGCACGTGTAGCTTCTATCAACCCCTCTCCAAATTCTTATGCTTTTGTCTGCAGAGCCACTGCAGACCAAGTCAGAAACCACAGCCAAGCACAAAATTGACTTTGTGTGCCCTCTAAGCGCACCCACAACCTCCATGTGAGCCTCACCTTCCTTCTTCTCCCACACCACAATGGACCTGTCGCATGCCCCCGAAAACAACACACAGCCATCTCTGCTCAGAGCAAGCGCATTCACCCCAGAATTGTGCTTCTCTAATGTGGCAACTAAAGAATGTTTCTTTTCTCCCAAGTCTTTTCTCCACACCTTGATTCTTTTGTCTGCTGATCCAGTGTAGACATGTCCATCGTTTGATGATGTGACTGCGTTTATCGCATCATCGTGCGCGTTGCTTACTGACTCCAGGCATCTGAAGTCTGTTGTGCTCCACACCTTGAGCGTTCGATCCCACGAAACGGAGTACAGAAGCTGCTCATCACTTGACAAGGCCAGGGCAGACACAGTGTCCACATGATGAACCCATGTGCACTTCTTGTGCCTTCTTATCTGGACATGGTTATTGGGCATCAGGAGCTTCGCAGCGCGGTCGCCAAGCGTTGGAAGCGTGGCTAGCCGCGAGCACTTTTGGCGATCTTGTTCGTGGTGGGTGTTGATTTTCCACACTCGGATTTTGTGGTCTTGATGAGCACTGAAGAGCTTGTCACCTGAGATTGCTAAGGACTTCACTGCACCCTTTCCAGCAGCCACCATGTTGTGATCAAGAGTTGGGTTTTCGCTGTCGAATTCGTGTAAAGAGTTGCACCTCCATGATCTGATTTCTCCGTCGGAAGAGCCGGTGTAGATGAAGTTCCCAGCTAGGGTGAGGGAGGATGTGTAGGAGTTTTGGCCTTGCAAAGTGGTGAGGCAGTGGTGGCAGGTGTTTGATTGATTGTGGGATTGTGAGGCAAGGGAAGGAACTGACTGGAGGCTTGGCTGAGAAGAAATGTATGACAAATCTTGTTGGTCATGAAGATCACTGCTTGAATAATACTGATAGGATTGGTGGCATTCCATGGCTCATGTTGGAGAAGGAGTGTCAGAAGAAAGTGAATTATTATATAGAGGGTAGAGAGAATATGGGAGCATTTTAGGAGGCCTATTTAAAGATATAAAATAATAGATTCTATGTTGGCAAAAAGTGAAGAAGCAATATATTGTTGGGCCTTTTTATTTGGTGGGTGGAGGAGCACAGGAATTAGTTTTCTGCACTGTATTTGGCATCCATGATTTTTATCAAGAGAATTCTGCATTTCCCCTCTCACTCTAAACTTTAAAGCAGGGGCAGCCTGGGACAGAATCAGATGGTTCTATACCAAAGTTTTTGGCCACCATTTGATTGATGAGTTTTGTCCATATCATTGAGCCAAGCACTCCACTAAATTTATATAAAAATAATTCCCTTTCTTGGTGGAGAAATTAAGCTAGATTCATCCAATCAATTCCCTCCACCTACAACAATATTGGTTTGTAATTAACCCAAGTTTATGGTCTGATTGCCACCTAATTAATTATGATTTGATTAATTAATCTTTCTGCTGAAGACATGTGGAGATGAACAGAGCCTTCCACTTCACATGCAAATGCAACTATATGCTGATTTCATTTGATGGGGGTTTTTTTGCCTGAAAAAATTATCAAACCACCTGCAGAAGAGAAAATAAGACAGAAAGTTGATCGATTGGTTAACTAGGTTTGTGTAGCCCCATGTGACTTTGGCTTTGGCATAATTGCTTGCTTGATGGTCTTTTTCATTCATTCTTGCTAGCAATATGGTTTTTTTTGTTGGTATTCAACCTCTCTTTTTTCCCTGAAGATGCAATCAGACGGGCAAGTAGGGCCCCTGAAGAAATGGGAACCTTTGGACCTGTCAAAGAGTGATAAGTGTTTTGTGCTCTCTGATATTGGTCACTATCATCTTGTAGGTACAATTTTATTTTATTTTCATCTTCTTGGCTACCAAATCATATAGTCCTTTTGGCTACCCTATGACATTGACTTGCCCTCTCACCTCAATGGAGCTTTAGGGAGAGTCTAGAGGTAGAAGGTAGGTTGTAAAGAAAAGAACTAATAAGAAGAGAATGAGAATGATGTTTTTGGATGCTGATTGTGCTTTGTTGCATTATGCAAAGACCATTGGCTTATCGTTTATGCACGTCAAATGGCAAAGATGTATATAATTTATGTTAATTCCTTTTCTCTTCCTTCTCAAATTGTAAAACTCGAGAAAAAAATGAAGACGGGAGTCGAACTTTCACGATCGTATGAAGTACGAGTAGTTGATTTTTGTCTTAAATCAATTTTCTACAATGTATTAGAAATTTTTATGAATGGTTTGAAAATCATTGCGAGAGTGGTTGGCATGTTTTTTGAGTCCAACTTGTCTTTTTCTTATTGCTCATGAACCATAAGAGAAGTCGCTTACTGCCTCTTTGCAGTTGTGTTCAATGTACAACAGAGCTTTCATCAAAAGAAGGGGGAAAAGTATGTATTATGAAGCTTTTTTTCTTTTCATTTCAATTGTGAGATTATAGTAAACCCTTCCATTTATATTTATACTAATTAAACAGCTTTTGGTGGGACTGAAGGAAGAGACCAGTTTCCTTTGAAGGAATGAAATCTTATTAATTATGAGTGTGATGAAAGCAACATGTGGAAGTGGAATATATATTCATATTCAGCAAAAGCCTTACCCACCTGCTTTGGTTTGGTTTTCTTTAACTTTCAATTGCATACATCATTATGATGCCTAAGTAATGGGGTCTTCCCAGCACTAAATGCTATGACCAGAAACATATCACTGATACAATCCAACTTACTACTCTACACACCCTGTATCCATATTTGTGTGTTGGTCCCATGCATCCTATATGACGACAATGGCTGTAGGCTCATCAACCATTCATCATTTTATGCATCTTCCTCTTCTTCGTCATTCACCCTTCATGTCGGAGAAATGTTAACATCAGTCGTGCATGTAATACATGAACTGATCTAGCCGCTTGAGCAGTGTTAAGCTCAGTCGCACATGCATAAGTTCGTTTATACTCTATCGATCCCAACATTCTCCATAACATTATATACATAAAACCCAATAAATAAAAGGAGGCTTTTCTTTTATTGGGTTTCATTACAATAAGGCCCAACAAACACAATAAGGTCCAAGTCCTACCAAATCATTTTAGCATCGCAACAATCCAATAGCAATTAATAACCCAATCCACCCAACCCATTAACTTCTGATTTTAAAAGTAAAAAGGAATCATATTGCTGAATTTTTTTGAGGTTAAGTTCGATTAGGGTAATAATTCGGGGGTAAAAAGGTTGAAAATCCTTAAGTAAATGAAAAGATTTCATAGACACATTTCTTTCACATGTGACGGTTTGTGTGCCCTTGTTGGCCGGCAAGGGTATAAAAAACCACATAGCAAATCATGGATATTAATTTGACCTGACTAATTAAGGAACCATATCAAATCGTTTTTCCTATGTAAATCAAAGAAACACTCAGGTCAAGAGGGTGGTATCACAGCATGAGCTAGCTTAGGCATCAAGAAACGCTTCTTCCTCCCACATATTTTTATGTTTCCCTTTTTAAAATGCCTAAAAGTAATTTATTTAATAGTGACGCGAGGATGCTAACTTGCTAAATGGCTGCTTAGTGGTCACACAGCTTGGCTCCTTGGATTTTCTATTCTTGGCTTTTCCCTTCGTGGCTTTCTTGGCTTTTTACTGATTGGCTTTTTTCTGCTTCATGGCAATCATTCTTTCGTCTTCCGGTTCAAAATCATTGCTCTCACTGAGTCACAATAATCAGAAACAATATAAAGGTCACATTACATACACTGTACACATGTAACCAAACGGAACAATTAATGTTATATATGAAACAAGAAACGTGAAGGAAACTTACGGTGAGAAGCTGAAATTGAGTTTGAAAGCAATAAAGTCCTTCACATCCACAGCACAAATAGTTGAATTTAAGGTCTTGATATGGCTTTCTCCTTCTCCAACAACAATTTGAAACATGGTGATACAAATATACTGACGATCAGTATAATTTTTCTGCTCGCCAGTCCAAACATGACAAAAATCATGGTTCCCCAAATGAACCAAATATTCTGTCAAACCATATTTAAATGGCCAATCAATAATCTCCAGTCCAGGTAATATTAAAGGTTTGCTTAGTGAACAGGCAATACAACCTTCATCACCTTCATCCATCTTAACGGTGAATGCCATAATCTCCTTACTAGATAAGGCATAGATAGTAGTTTTACCTACAACCACACCCCTCCCCCGAAAAGGAACATAAGGAATGCTGTCATGCCATTTATTTGTACTTACATCAAAATCCATGACTTGGGCACGGGATTGATTGAGGTCACACATTGAAAACAAAATAAATCCATAGCAAACAACATAACCAACTATATCTAAATCATCCCAATACTCAGCCCAATACTCACATATAAATGGATAAGAACAAGGCACTTCGTCCCATCGATCAATAGAAGGATCATACATCTCAAAGAACGGCTCCGGAAGTGAACTGTCGCATTTTGGAGATGCAATATAATAGAGTTTCCCATACGCAGAAACAAGAGCTCCAAATGGCCTAGGACCTTTAGGGGGCTTCAAAGGTAGCAATGACCCAGCACTTGTGTCAAACATAAACCCATCCAGTGACTTGGGATTCTCAAGTTCAAAAATTTCATCGATAGTTTCCTCTGGAAGTAGGTATAACTTGGCACGGTTGAAAATCCTCGCACCCCGAATAATATAACCACCGGTGAAATTGGCTACAGGTTCAAGAAGTGGGGGTTCAAGAGGTGGGGGTTCATTACAAACTCCTCCTCCGCCAACATATTCTCCTTTTTGATTAAATTTTACTTCATATAATGCTCCACTATATTTGCCGCCAATAAAGGACACCACTAAAAACACAGATCTAGCTTCACCCTCCGTGGGAAAGCTGGAGAGAGAGAGAGAGAGAGAGAGAGAACAAATCAAGTTAATAGTCGAAACAACGTTCCAGACAATCGTGTATAGATTCATATACCAATTCAAATTTAAGAATATTTATTTATGTACTAGAAGAAGCTGGTTATTTTCTAAGCGAGAATCTTTGAATAAAGACGCAGCAACGCGAGAAAACCTCAGACAAAACATAAATCAACAACAAGACGAATAACATAAACATTTTTACAGACAAAACATAAATCAACAACAAGACGAATAACATAAACATTTTTACAGACAAAACAAAATCACTGACCTTCGGTAAGCTCCTCTGGCGCTAGCAACAATCGCGCTAGCAACTCTGTCGCGTAGTGGGCGAAGCTCCTCCAAAACTGATTTCCACAAACGATGCAGTTGGGCTCGCCGGGCAACAGCCTCGGCTAGAGCTTTCTCAATCTCCGATAACTTGCCCTGAAGGTCCTCAACATCTTGACCCGAGGTGAGCTCAGCGGAGACGGAAGCGGAGGCTTGGGATTTATTCCCACCCTCCATCATAGGAGGCTCTCTGATACCCCTTGCTGCTAAATTGAAGCACAAGAGAATTCAGAGTTGGGGATGCTTGCGGTAGAAGGGACTTTAGGGTTAGATAAAGGATAAAGTGGGACATGAAATTTAAGGACACCAACTCTAATCCTAACAAAACCTCGGATGGGATATATTGTCCCCGAATTATAGGTCCAGACTCCCCTCTAATAAATTGAGGCTAATGCTTCCTTGCCCATAAAGAAAGAGGAACTCCTCATTTCCTAATAAGCATGTGTCACTTTATAAAATAAAAATATGTATATTTCTCAAACACGCATACATATTGTACCTTCTGTTTAGCATAGAAATTGGTGATGAAGAAATACATTCTTTCTTGTTTATGATTATAATTGTCACTTGCGGTCTTAATGAGATTACTTAGTTTACTGTTTGGGTCTTGTAGAGGTATTTTCATTCCGTGTAGGGAAGTCTTTACAACTCAAAGTTTGCTAGATTAAAAAATGCCTATATCCCATTAAGCAAAGAAAAAGAATAAAAGAAGAAGAAGGAGAAGAGGAAACCTTTATAAGAAACTATGCCTATCAAACGTTGGAGTTGGAATGGGCCAATAAAAGTGGAAGAAACAAAATGCACTCTTGAGAATTGGAAAAATGAAAAGAAAAGGGATACATGTCAGTTTGTGGTTGAGCCACGGGGTGAGGAGATAGCTAAGATAACATGACTTTTCTTTGGGATTGTGCCGGAAATTTATAGTGAGACTCAAGTCCCCAACTCCCCAATGAACGTATATATAGTGCCTTGGGCGGTTGCAACGCTAATGGGCTATTGATTATGGCCTCACACTCATCGTGCTTCCTTAGCTTGT